ATTGATATTAAATAATGTACCATTCTCACTGACAATCATAAATTCTTTCCTCTTTTAATGCTGTAGAAGTCATATTCATTAAGAGAGAGAGCCAGGTTACCATCCATATAATGTCAAAAACATCAGGCATGATGAACACAGGTAGCGAATGATTCCTTTTCTTGTGCTCATCTCTTAACAGCACATAGCACATTGCCTGGCCTGATAAACATCAAGCATATTATATGTGCCAACCACTGTGCCAACACTGAGTTTTCAGGAAAAACATGATTTCTGCATCCATACCATTCACAATCTAGTGGAAGAAAATGATATTAAACAAATAAACACAAAATGTATAGTTTAGAATTTTGATGGGTGCTAAAAAGAAAAAAATGGTAAAGAAGACATGATTATACTGGGACTAAATCAGAGGCCTTAATTTAAATTGGCAGTCAGGGAGCTCTTCACTGAAGAAATGAGATTTGCAACTGACCCCTGAAGCATCAGTTGAGAGGGACCAAGCAAGGAGTGGGTGGTGAGCCTTCCATATAGAGCATGTCCAAATGCCAATTTAGTGTATGTGAGGAAATGACTGAAAGCCACTGGGGCTCAAGTGCAGTGGGAGGATGGCATGAGATAGGGTCCAAGAGTAGGTAGTAAGAAATATAAATTCTATAGTGGAAATGAACTAAAGAAAAGCAGAAGACTAAAACAATCTGATTTACTTTTTTTTTTTTTTTTTAAGAATGCTCTGGATTCTGTATGGAGAATGGGTTAGAAAAGGACAAGACTATGTGTATGGGAAGCAGGAGTCTATTGCAGAGATCTAGAGGAAAGATGATGATGGCTTATTCTAGGAGGGTATCAGTAGTGTTGGAAGACATTGTATGGAATCAAGAAATCTTTTGGAAATGGAAACTAAGAGGATTTTGAGATGTACTGATGTTGCGGAGTGAGGGTGAAGAAGACAAGTGTAACTGTCATGTTTATAACACACAACTGATAGATGGTAGTGATATTTTTGAGAAAGAATTGAGGAGGAGTGGTTTGATGGAAGTAGCGAGTGAACAAATTTAGTTTGCTCTGTCAGTGGGACATTCAGAAGAATATATAAAGAAACTTGAATTAGAGACAGACTATAGCAGTCAGAAGTCAAGTATGAACCTATGAGTTGTCACCATATTGATAGTACTTAAAGCCATGGGAAAGGAGATCTTCCCAGCAAGATTATAAAGAAAAAAGGCAAAAGGCTCAGGGTAAAGATGGAGTCAAAAATAAAAAGGAGTAAGAAGAACAAAACAAAAGAGTGCAAAATGACAGAAACTAACAGGAAAGGGAAAAAGTACTGAATTCTCCTAAAAGATGTTTTAAAAAGAGAATTTAAATTGCTCATTAGATTTATTGGTTATGGATTGGTGCATTTGGCACATAACAAAGTAAGCTCTGGTGGAGAGATGTACCATGAAAAACTTGGGAGGAGGTTGGAGAGGAATGGGATAGAAGAAAATGAAGACAAAAGATACAGAACTCTTTCTAGAAACTTTACAATAAAGGAAGGAAGAGAAACAGGGCAGGCTGGGCTGCAACTGGAAACAGATTTGGAGTAAAGGGTAACAACAACCAACAGGGAATCTATGTAAATGTGAGATTCAGTGCAAGTTGGTATTTGTCTTAGCCTAGGTGCTCTAAAACATGTCTGAGGAAGGACTTATATGGGAGTAGTTTATTTTTATACTCAAACCCAGAGAAAGAGATTGGATGACTAAGGAGAAGAAAACAAAGAGGGAAAGCCACCTCAGGAATTTATTATCAGCTCATCACCATCAGGTAATGGGGGTTCAATCATGCTAGAGTCCCTCTTAAGTGTCATTTAGAATATATTCAGAATTCTTCACCCAAAGAATGGAAGAGAGGAGTTGACCACTAGTCAAAAGTTGCCCTGTGGGGTATTAACTCTCTTGCACTTCCTGATTTGTATTGTACATGTCTCTGAATGGTAGAGAAGCTTCCTTTAAGTGTCCCACTCAGAGGTGGTAGAGAAGTCCAGGGCAGAAAATGAGACAATCAGTCCAACTGCAACCAGTGTCTGCCAAGTTAAGTCTGTATGTAGCTAGTTGCTATGGTAACAGCTAGAGTAAAAGATGGACCAAAAGGATGTGAAGCAGGGCACAAAGGTGTCTGACAGAATGTCTACCTTGATATTCATGCACACCACATCCTTTCCAGTCTAGAGAGATGAAATGCATTGTGTCTAGCTCATGACAGAGCTGGCACATAGGTTCTACTGATTCCTGGCCTCCAGACTTCCCTGTGTCTGTTTAAGATTAATTACTCTAGGTAGCAGCAATACTGGACAAGTAAATTAACTGAATAAGGATTTTTATATATTCTCGGTGACAGATTCAAGAAATGTTTTGGAAACATCAAGTAACTCAATATTTTATGAGTACATACTACATTCAAAATCTGTACATGGTAGTATAGATTGTCAGAGAATATTAAATATGGTCCTTGCTTTGATATCTCATTAAGGGAATAGTGTATAGACACATGAGAAGAGATATAAAAATGGCAGAAGACTGGATATGATTAAATAACAAATGTGGAATAGGACTGTGTCAAGCTAGTATATACTTATTTATGGCAATGTTTCTGTTTAGAATGAGTAGAATCTCAGAGATTAGGGAAAGCAACTATGAAAGCCATTTGTTTTGGTAGAAACCTCAGACCCCCAGTATTAGCAGAAACTATCTGGGTAGACAAACTAGAGGTCATTTTTACTTTCTTCTGTAAATGTTTCCATATTTTCCATAACTCCCACAATAAACATGTATTGCTTTTATATTCAAAGAGTATTTTTAACATAACCAAAGGATGAGGAACAACTAGAATTCTCACCCATTGCTGATGGCAATGCATAACGGTGCAGCCACTTTGGAAAATAGTTTGGCAGTTTCTAATAAAGCTAAACATACACTTACCACACAACCCAGCAATCCTACTCATAGGTATTTGCCCAAGATAAAGAAAAATGTTCTCTCTCCTCCTCTCTCTCACATGTGCACAGACATGTGTGCATACACACCACCACCACCACCACCACCACCAATGTTTAAAGCAGTTTTTTTTTTTATCACAAAAACTGGAAATGACCTACATGTCCTTCAAATGGTGAATGGATCAATTGTGGTACATCCATACAATGGAATCCTATTTAGCAATTAAAAAAAAAACAATGAACTAGGGGCACCTGAGTGGCTCAGTCGTTGGGCGTCTGCCTTCTGCTCAGGTCATGATCTCAGGGTCCTGGGATCGAGCCCCACATCGGGTTCCCTGCTCGGCAGGAAGCCTGCTTCTCCCTCTCCCACTCCCCCTGCTTGTGTTCCCTTTCTCGCTGTGTCTCTCTCTGTCAAAAGAATGAAATCTTAAAAAAAAAAAAAATGAACTAGTGATACACACCACATGATGGAAGAATGTCAAATGCATTACACTGTGTCAAAGAAGCCAGATTCAAGAAGTTGTGTAATATATAATTGCACTGATGTAACACTTTGGAGAAGGCAAAATTATAGGAACAGAAACTGACCAAAACAGAGGAGGACCATATCAAGGGCTGTTGAGTAATCAAAAGAATTGACCAAGATGGATTCTACATGGATCACCGAGAACCAAGAGGGAATAAAACATCTGAGAACAATTAGAGAAGCCATAGGCAGAATTCACGGACTCTGAATATAGAAGCAAAGATACCACAGTCTAAAGTCATAAACCCAAAAGGACAAATGATCCTTCACAATGATGTATGTACCAGTGAAGATTCTTTAGATTGCAAGTGACCAAGACCAACTCTGGCTTGAGTAAGCCACATAGAAAAGAAAAATGGTGGTGAGAAGGATTCTGAGAAACTCACAAGAGAGGGAAATGCTAAAGACCAGAGTGTCAAGCAACTCTCATGTGCCTTGAAAACCTTCACCACTGCTGTGGCAGCCAGGTCCACCCAAATTTCAATCAGCTTAATGCAGGTGCAAGTGGATATCACCTCACCTGGCCTTGCAGACCTCTCATTTCCTGTCCTGGGTCTCCTTACTCACTAGGCACTCATATAGCATGCAAGCCGTAAGTAAGGAGTTAACACCATGGGGACACATCTGACCAATAGGAAATAGTAGTCCATGAATAAATGTTTCCCCTATTCCCCCAATTCAGAGCAACAGTTCTGAGATCCATTTTGAAAGTCTCCTAAATCAAGTACTTGGCATTAAGGGCCAGTAACCAGGAGCAGTGGCCAACTCAACAACTTATCTTTGTATTGATTATCTTTCTTCCCTGTTTTATTACTGATGTCACAAACTCTCTAAACTCATTATCAAAGATACCATCTACAGGCCAGGTTTCATGTCAGTCTCTGCTTTCTGGGGAACACAGACCAAAATAAGCAGACCTTGGGAAGGATCCATTATAGCTCTGGACATTTCAGCTATAGAAATTTATGGACTGTCTCTTAAGGGTGATGTCATCAGTGGACTCAGCGCTAACCAACCTCCAACCACTTCCCAGGAGACAGTCTGATTCAGCGAGATTAGGTTACATGCGTATTCTGGGGTCAAAGGGCATGGAACCTCATGCTCTAATCTCAACAGAAGCACTTGGATTGGGGAAGGGGCAGTTCTCCAAAGACTGTGAGAAGGCAGGAAACAAGGGATGATTTAGGAACATTTTGTTACCTAGTTACAATTTGCTTTTGGATCATGTTAATGTACCTTAAAAAAAAAAAAAGAGTATTGTGCATTGTGTCTGAAGTGTAAGTTTCTTTACTCTAAGGAATCAGTATTTTGCTAGACCTTGGTTACAGCCTTAAAATAGAAAATGTAAGCATGCGGCAGGTGTATTACGGGCTTTTTTGGTGGGTTTTTCTGCTAGCTCAAAACTGTTACTTTGAATTTGGAAAGCTTATATCATAGTAATTGTTAAGATAGCCAGGTTCTTTTTTTCCGCATTCTAATTCTGTCTCTCTCTAGGTTAATATCCAACACAGGTATTAAGCACTTACCAGCTGTTCACAAGGTTCAATCTCTCCAAAAGGTTCTACTGTAAGTGTTTCCTTGAGTGTTGACTTAGTAGATGTCTTGCCCAATGGCCTTGGGGCCTATAATATGCACTGCTTAACCTAGATCGTCCAAATAGGTCACTCTGGGTAAGCAGAGGTAGGAAGGCAAGCAGGAAGTACCCTTAGTTTTATCTGAAAGCCCTCTAAGCTCAGTTTGGAGACAGCAGTCTCCTCAATAAGACCATTTCAACAGAGCCAGCTTGTAGCAAATCAAGAAGGGCCTCCTCTCTTCACTATTTAGTGCTTTACATACCACCCCTACAAATACCATCCTCACCCCAGTCTTCCCTCACCCTCACCTCTTCCCTCCTGAATTCTCATACGACCCTAGGCATAAAGAAACTGGCTGACGATTCACAAATTCACACTGTTAGCAAGATAATCTATTTGCCTTTTCTCAAGACATCTGTATTTTCAAAGAGGAGGGAAAAAGGCCATGTGTAATGCCAAGTTTACTTTCAATAGTGAAATTCTAAAATTTGGACAGACCCAAAAGGAAATGGTAAGGAAGGGGTATAAAAAGCTAAGGAAAAGGGGGAAGAAAGGAGAGAGGGAGGGAGAGAAAAAGAATCTCTCAACATTTCTCAAATTGTTCCAGGCAGTTTACTACTCCTGCATACAGTGTATTTGTTAAATCTGACCCAACAGGGAAGCTTGATGGGGGATGAGGGACACAACCCAAAAAATGAGACTTTCTCCATCCCTCCATTCAGAAATAGAATGATACAACTTTTCTGTGACCCAAGGGGAATAGAAGGATAAACTGGCTGTGAGAGGGGGACTGAAATGGGAGGAAGCTAAAGACCCAAGTATGGTGAATGAAGTTCCATATGGAGGTGAAAGGTCAGCGTTAGTGGCTTTGTCATAGTGAGCAGGCAAGGATAATAAAGGAGTGTATCAGAACCTTAACACGGTGAAATTAGCTAAGAAAATGTCCAGAGACAAGAGACTATGAGAAATTGCAATTTCATTTTTAGGCACTGATAAACTGAAGGTAAACTAGATGTCATTTATTTCCCTAACTTTGAACTCATCTCTCAGAATACTAACTGTTCCAACATTGCCTCAGCTAAAGACCACATCATGCCCAGGAAACAAAATGTGGGGAGGTTACAGGAGTGGAGCTGGCATAAAGACCTAATGTATCTGTACTTTCTTCTAGAGACATTCAAGATAATATCAACATCCACACAGTTGAAAGAAATTCTTTCATGGGGCTGAGTTTTGAAAGTATGATTTTGTAAGTAAAGAAAAAAACTCCAGTGGAGTAACATTTGGTTTCTGATTTAATCATCTTTCCCCTAACAGGATGCTCCTTTTGTGTTTGGGTAACTTCAGCTTTTCATCATTTAAATTTCTGCTTCAGTATTTTTCTCTCATTTCCCATCTTTACATTTCAGAATCACAACATGGAGTCATGTTAATAATTTATGATTCTGCGGTGCGATTCAAATATTTAAAATTGCTCTTTGAAGGATGGTCTCCTGTGAGGCAACATCTGTTCTGAAGGACAGAATAACTCATGCATCAGTAAAGCTAGTTACTGCCTAGCAAGGCTTTTGTTGCCCCAAGAAAAAGACCAAGGAGGAGGCTGAATTTGGGAGATTTTCCCTCATCACCATGCCAAGAAGCTCCTGTTCAACCCCATGTTGGGCGTGAGAGGACCTCTTTTCTCTTGAAACAATCACATTTTTTAATGAGCTTGAGTTACTCCCTCTGACTTTGGGGAATGTTTTTAAATGCACTCCGTGCCATTAATGGACTCCTTTGTAATCGTTTGTGCTGGTAGCCTGGGTGGCAGTTTATCCATCGCCTAAGATGGCCCAGAAAGAGAGCGCCTCGGGCTACCCAGGTGTCTGTGGGATCTACGGAAGTTAGATAAACAGAATGGCATTTGGGAAACCGGTAACTGCCATTATGTCTGTAAGGAAAACATTTTATCCTCCCACTTCAGAAATTGTTGCATTTTTTAAAAATATACCAGTGTGTGTGCTTAAAATATGCCATTATGTACAAAAGGTTAAGTTCCAGCCAAGGAATAATTTCAGTCATTTTCAAAACAGTAACATGATTCAGAGAATACCCAGCAGTATGAAAAAGAAAAGGGGTGGGGAGGGAGGGTGGGGAGAGAAACAGTAGAGATGAGGACATGCTGAAGATTAAAGCTAAGCACAGCATTTGATGTAAATTAATTAGAACAATAGGAAAGGTTGCAAAGAGACTAGCAGAGACATAGCAAGTATGAAGGAAAAAAATTTAAAAATCAAAGGCATGTATTCAGAGTACATGGTATTAGGACAACAATTTTAACTGAGTAATACCTAATCCTTCCCTTTAATACACTCACAACATTCGGAATTTATGTGCACCTGTATTAGAATGAGTCGATGGGGTATGGGAAATATGAGAGAAGGGGAAAGCAAAAGAAATGGATTAAAATATAAACAGAATAAAAAGTGTGCAAAATAAAAGCAATTTTCCTAAAAGGGAAGAAGGAATGATTTACTCTGACTGGCCTGTGACGTGAGGGTTGAAGGAACAGTTAAAGGAGGGAAAGGTGGCCGAGAAAGGAAGTCGTGTCTAAGATGGGGCTTTAACAGGTAAGTGGGATGTAGCCAGGCAAAGGGCAAGCAGAGGGAACAATCATCAAGGCTATTAAGGTTAAAAAAAAAAAAGGAGGAGGAGGAAAGATAGAAGGAGTTCGGGGGGAAAAGAGGGAGTCCCTGAGTAACATCAGCCTGGCGGCTTAGAGCACAAATAGACAGTGAACGGATTGCCAGGCTACATTATGGAAGGAGACTAGTGATAAATGTCATCAGCTGTACCTGGATATCCCGTGCTTCTTTAAATCTTGCTCTAAACATCTTTAAATATAGTGGTTCTAAGTTACTTAATGTTACCATGTGGCAAATCTATTAACAGAGTATTTTATAAAAATATATCATTAAGTGGGAGTGTGCAGACTGCTCGCAGTTTTCTACTATGACACACATTCTTTTTGTCCAGAACGTAAGACAGAAGGCAAAGATCCTGACCTAAAAAGACCTAACCTCTCCCCAAGTGTAGGCAAAGGACCTGAGGAAATAAGAACTTAGGACACAGCCTCACACACCCAAACCTACAAAGGAAATGTGCAGATCATGGCTGCTCTTTTCGGACTTCTGTTCATGGACACTGCGTGGCTCCCCAGAATTTAGAACATACTCTCCCAAAGAGGAGAGTTTTCTTAAGAGTCAATACTTCTCAGACACGTCTCTAAAGGATAAATTCACTTTTGTGAGAACAAAATCTATTTTTCTTGACCTCAGATGGTCCTTAATCCATAGATAATGGAAATGGAAAATCCATACTCAAGACAGTTTAAGACTCCAGTTGTTCTTAGTTGGGGTGACACATCTGGATGCAGGGGCGCCTTCTCCCACTAAGGACATCCAAGTGTGCTCAGAAAAAGCAGTATGGCTAAATGGCACTGACGACTGATAGAGTTTTCTATGCACTGGCACTTTTCAAATCTTGAGTCCCTGTTCTAAAAAAAATTTATCATATATATATATATATATATATATATATACACACACATACATATACATATATATATCACATGCACACAATTTTTTTAAATAGCCCAATAATAATAAAGGATTATCAGATACTGGGCTAGTGTCTCAGAGGAAAATGAGCAATAAAGGTCCACCATGTTGAGGCCTCTGAGCCCTTTCCCACCCCCGCACTGCAACCACAGGGTCTGAATGGGGAAAACATCGAGCTATGACTGACCAAAAGAATGGCCTCAATTCAGAAAAAAAATAAAATGCGTATCCATGTGTATCAGCTCCCACCATGTCCCAGCCATAGGAGAGGCTCACTCCATGTGCATTTCCTCCTTTCCTTAATTGCTTCCATCTCACTTGCCTGCCCCAGTGAGCTTTAATAGGCTGGGTCCCCCCAGTCCCCTCACTCTTTAGGCTGTGAGCAGATTCTGCTTCTGGAGCCTCCTGAGCCTCTACTGAGGCCACAAACACATAAAGATCAAAGAAAACCATGATCCAGTTATTCTTTAGATGATGCTTTGCCCAGGTTTTCCTTGTCATTGTGGTCATTGTCATCATCATCAGGTTTTCAAACCAGCACTGTATCTCTTAAGAGACTAAGAGTATACATAATCAATGTCAGCTTCTCTTTGTTAGTAGTTTGAGTGTTACAGCCTAATGTAAAGCCCAGGGCCAGAGTTCTGGACATCACTTTTTTTGTATGTGTAATGATCCATCATTGACATCAAAAACTTCCACCCCCTCCCCATATGATGGTATCTGTTGACTGAGAAAAATCCATAAAGACAAAAGGCTACTTCAAATACAGTAATTCTTTTAAATCCATCTATATATTATTTAATCATAGCAAGATCTATTTACAGGAAATTTATGTACAGAAAAGTCTAGTCTACAGAAACATAGGTGGAGCCCAACTGGATTTACATACCCCTTTGTGTTAGAGGAAGGGTCAGCCAAATCCAGCCCATGAACTAGTACTGGTTTACACAAGTGAACATTTTGATGACAGGGAACACTGACACTAACCTAAATTAAGCAAGATGGTACCCTGCCCAGAAAAAAAAGAAAAAAAAAAAAAATCCATGCTTTTCAATAGACCTCTAAAAAAAAAAAATAGTACTCTATTATTATAAGTTTGGTCAAACCTTTGTCAACATTGTTTAGTACGTACCTATATAAAATATCTATGTAGTATTCTCCATTTTATCTCTTGGCCCACAAAACCTAAAATGTCCTGCCTGGCCCTTTACAGAGAAAGTTTGCTGATCCCTGTGGTTGACTGAAAATCCCAGGGAACTACATCCCACAGGTTAGGGGCAGCTGTCGCAGCAATTCACTACCAGGGACAGGCTGACAAAGACGTGAGCAGGCTAGATAGCTGGGGTCCAGCCAGGGAGTTGCAAGGCAGGTGGAATGCGGGGGTACACAGCCACTCTTTGGCCATCAGAACCCACCAAATGGTTGCTGAGGTTTTAAAAAGATATACCTTCTCCTGTCTGGATTTTTTTATGTAAACTGGTTTTCAGGAGGAAGGAGAAAAAACATACAGTTGCTGTCCTGTGACTGCAAGTGTTTCTAGCTACCCATTGCAAGCGGGAAAATAAAAGTCCAGAATATGCAGGAGCCTCTCGGGGTCAGCTTTTCAAACACTGTTATTTGTAAACCCACTGAGCCTGACAAGGAAAAGGATCTGACAGCAAATCAAGAGCAGGTAGTCAAAGGCTCTTCAGGCTAAGCTCTCCCGACCTTGGATTTTGTTTTTGTTTTCAGGCCCATCCAAGAGCACAGCAGTGCAGAGCTGTCAGCCCAAGGTGTCCTTGGTCTCCCCTAACCTGCTCACTGTCCTTTGCACAATCAGGCTGACTGTTCCACATCCAGCCCCCATCAACCGCAGAGGCCCCTCCTGTTCCCACTCACACTACTGCGCCCTGCCACAGCCCACAGTCTCTCTAATTGATTTCTCTTCCTTTCTGGCTTAACCCAGAGCCACCTCCACAAACTTCCAATAACCAGGTCCCTGTGGGTCACAGGAGATGTTCAGGTTGTCTGATAGCTTAATTAGATCACTTTTTGATGACAGCCAGGCCTGCTGCTATGGGTGAGCGTGGGTGAGAGGCTTAAGGCCTTACAGAATGGGGATACAAAATGTTCTTTGTCTTATAAACACTTGTCCAATAATTGCATGATTTCAGTCCTTCAGGATGGGAAACACCTTTGTCTTATCCCCCCATGGCACCATCTCTGCACACTAATGATGTGCGTGAAGACCATACAGGGTCCAGGTGGTAGGCCTAAGTGTGCCTTTTCAAAATTTTTTTCCCCTCTGGAAAGTAATACATGCACATAACGCAAACTTCAAACATCACATGAGGTCATACAGTGATAAATCAGCCTCCCTCCCACTCTTGTCCCTGAGCCTTACGGGTGGCATTTTATTTATGCCAACAACCTGCAATGTCTGACCTTGCCCCAGTGCTTCCAATTATGAAACCCCTGCATTGTTTGCATCTGACATTATTGGTTTTTTAATGGGCCTTTTATTTCAGATGGCTGAATAAGAACGGCATTCAAGAAATACACAACTGCGCGTTCAATGGAACCCAACTAGATGAGCTGTAAGTAGCCCTGACTATTCTTCCAGGCCATTTAGAGGGAAATGGCTCTTACAACAGTGATATTTATGTGGCTTTGTGTTTCCCTTCTTCTCTGCTGAACTCCATCCCCAGGAATCTAAGTGATAACAATAATTTGGAAGAATTGCCTAATGATGTTTTCCACGGAGCCTCTGGACCAGTCATTCTGTAAGTAGCTTTCCCTGTTTCCATGTGCTAGAGATCAACATGTACAAGTTAGGAGTCAACTTTCTGCAATTCAGAGAGGCTTCCCATATAGGGCTGGCAATGAAGGTCAGTTTTTATCTGTCATCTACAAAGACTTCCAGGGACAATTTCAGGCTGATCTACATCCTGACTTTCAATAGTGTAACAGCAACAGTAACAGCAACTATTATTTAATGAGCACTTACCAAGCCCCAGACAGTGTTTTAAAAGCTTAAAATGAATTTTCGAATTTAATCCTCATAAAACCTCTGTGGTAGGAGCTGCTGTTCCCATTTTAGAGAAGGAAAAACTGGCTTCCATGGAGGTGTTAACTAACTCATCCCAAGTCATGCAAATTTTGGAGCGTGTATTTAACACCAAACTGGTCTGACTCAGCGCAGGTTCTTAACTCCTCTGCCATACATTTCTTCCCTGGAAGGGAAAGCACAGGTTTCCTTCCTCACCTTCAATGTCCAGGAGTATCCTTCCCTGAGAGATCCCCCCACACACTTATTTTTAGATCCTCTTTGCCTCGATTCAGATCTCTTGGGCTCCATTCAGTGCCCCACAGCCCTGCAGCAGCACCCCTCCTCCCGGTGCTTGCTTCCTCATCTCCATCTCTCCCTCCACAAGGAACCATCCCCATTTCTCTTCTCATGGGCCCCTGACTTTCCACTAGGGTCAGGCCAGCTGTCACCACTTCCCTGGCCACCTCAGCCAATAGTGAATTCTTCCTCCTGTGACTTCTACAGCCTTCACTGTGGCAGGGACCCCAATCTCCAAGAGCTTTTAAAAACTGTTTTCCTGGGCTCTCAGCAAGACCTACCCCATCTACTGATGAAAGGTACTGCAGAAAGGAAGGGACCAAGAAGGAAGAAGTCAGATGTAAGAAGAAATAGTGAGCACAGAAATAAACATACAGAAAAAAATCTCAAGTTTTACTAGATGATCCTTCTATGGCCTGCCCAAAGTCAATTTTGGCATTGAGAGCCACTAGACTGCACCTCGTATTTGGCAATTAATATAGGCTCCCACATGTGGTTACGTCTCTCCTTCCCTCCCATCTGTCAACATAACTTTCCTTTTCACTCAAAAGCTTATATTCTCCGGCAGGTTGGAACCTAGTGTATCTCTAGCATTACACCGTGTATGGTAGAGCAGAAACTCCACAAATGGTTATTATTGGCAATAGAGCGTGTGTTTGACCCACATACAGGATTCTGCCTCTTTGAAAAGTTCAATGATTATTTTAGTACGCCTGCCTTGAGATGGGCAATATATGCAAAAGAAGGAAGTGTCAGTATGATTAAAGCAGAGAGGCCAGAGCAGACGACCTTGATTTAAAACCATTCCTTTGCCTCCCTAAGCCTCCATCTCCTCACGGAAAGCTTATATTCTCCTGAGAGTCAGACAATAACTAAATATACATCCTAAAATAGCAGGTCACAATGTGTGCTAGGAAGTACCAGGTAGTTGCCAAGAATAAGAGAGTGCGCCAGGCATATGGTCCATGTGCTCTAATATACCGAGTACTTAGAACTTGTAATGCTTAATGTTTCCTCCTCTTCAAGGACTTGGGAGACAAATAGACTTAGAGACAGTGCTGTTGATGTCTCTGACCGCCCCAAGAGCAGTTTGTCAATTTCCCTTACCTGAAAGTCCTAGGGATTTTGAATATTCCTAAAGCACCTCTATCTGTTATGGCAGAATGTGTCTGTGGTGGGATAGGTTTCCATATGTTACTTGTACTGGGTATACTATTAAATCATAGCTCCTTAACCACTCCACTACCGCGAACATTCGAGTTGGACTGGATCCTCAACCAGCTCATTATCCAGGCAACCAAAACCAGAAATTTAAAGTGACCTGCTGAACATCAGACTGCCACCATAAGTGGCAGAGCTTGGGCCAGAAACTAGGTCTTCTGCTTTACATTCCATGTATTCCCACCATATCATGTTGTCTAAAGCATATAAATACGTCTAATCAAACAACTAAAAGTTATACAGTTGGCTGCAAACTACAACAGAGGGTGAAAATATTTGTAAGCACCAGACTCCCAGCCTAAGAACACCAGTAAATGATAAGCACAGACAACACAGAAGCACATCTCCTACAGGTGCATCATCAGGCCCCAGGCTGAGGCACCATGCCATGTGTCTCATCTGAGCATCTAATGGAGAACATGGACATGAATCCCTCAGCCAGTCCTGCCACATATGCCATCAGGCATACGGATGGATGTCACCATCACAAGCAGCTCCACAGGGTCCTCAAGTTACAGGTGCATTTTTCAACCCTTTTACCACAGGAACAGATCTGGCCAGAATGAAGTGAGTAACATTTACAGAAAATCCAAAGGAATTATCAAGCACTTGCCATGACTTAAAAGGGTAGAGGGTGATAATACACTCCCACATCCTTTCATCCCAATGCATGAGGATATATGTGCAAGATCCTGGCCAACAGCCCAGCCTATAATTGCTAGTCTCCTTCTCCTCCCCTTAGGGGCAAGAGGATTGATCACTTCAACATCGAGCCTCCCTTACTGGGGCTTTCAGGTTAGTCTGCAGAGGTCCTTCCAATCTCTGCTTGCTCAACTAGGATTCTATGGCCTATGCCATTTCTCACTCCTACAACCTGATGTGCCAACCCCAGCCAAACCCTGGCCTGAGAGCTGCTTGCTGAGGTGTGTGCAGAGAATGAGCCCACCCCAGGTGCTACGGGTTGATGAGTAGGAGAGGTGCAGTCTGTTCAGACTGCTTTTGCAGAGTAGATGCTCAGGCTAGGGCTTTGATTGTGCATTGCGTCAGATTCCCATTTCCCCAAATAAGCCTGTGATATGGATGTGTGCATGCAGGAGGTTGACTGGGGAGTGCTATCAGGGTATGTAGGAAGTACTTGCTGGGAGTAGAATCAGGCTAAGAGGGAAGTCAAACTGCAATGCATTTGCAACAGAAGCCTCATCTAATCCCATGGGAGCTGTGCAATTAAGATGGCCCTTCAAAGTTTCACTGAATTAAGGCAAGGAGCCAGTCCTCTTCATCAACAATCACGTGATGCAGGCTGTCCATGGGGAGGAGGCAAATCGTGGCTAAGTCAGGAGAAGGCATTTCCAGAGGAGAGCTCAGCTACTAGCAGCTCAGCTGGGAGTGGTTCCAAGTTTGATCATGCATCACAATCACCAGGCATGCTTGTAAAACCCTGGAATGCAGGTCCCCACCCCCAGAGTCGGACTCATCAGGTCAGGAATGGGCCTAAGAAGCTCCATCTCAATAACTTGCCTAGTGAAGCTGCTGTTGCTGGTCCAGAAAGCACACCGGGGATCACTGCACTAGAACCAATGCTGGGAATAGGGAAGTTTCGCCCTGTCTCCAGGGTAGCTCCTCCACAAGCTAACTGCCGTGAATCTTCCTCCCCAACAGACTTAGTCCTTTGTCCCCAGTAGATGCATGCAAAGGATTCCAAGAAAGTGAAGGGAAGGGCACCCAAACCAATGGTACTCCTTTACTGAAGGCAAAAATTTTTAGTTGAGTGAAAAACAGGGAACCTCTCAACACCTAAGGGTGCAATGGTGAGATGTTCCACTGCAAAAAGAAACAGATGTAGAGAAAGCCAAGGGCACATACGCACGCTCCTCTGAGTTTCAGAGGAGAAGCCTAGCATCTCTATTTCCCCCTCCAGAGTCTTGACCTTGATCATCAGTGGCCATCTCAGTTTTCACCTGATATTCTAAACTCACTCAAGTTTGGGGCGTGTGTGTGTGTGTGTGTGTGTGTGTTTTAAGCAATCAAGCAATTGCTGTTTCCTTGGGAAACTGTTTCCTGTGGGGAAAATTTAATGCATTGCCTTTGCAGGCTGGAGCCAGTACAATCGTATTCTGATGGTTTATCAAATTGATTTGGCTATAGCTCAGATTCATTTGATAGTTCAGATTCAAACACTGAGTTATTTGTATAAGAATGATTCTCTTCCATTACCAGTGTACCCACAGTCCTATAGATAGTAAATTGCCTTTTTATTCCGCCTGGGATCATGAAAGAGAGGTCTTCTAGCCATCTGTCAGAGTAGTATACACCAGAACTGTGCTCTCACTTATGGAAATGATTGACCTGTAATAACATCTTTGCTGGAAAAATAGAAATTGTTCAAATCAAATTTGTGGCACTGGCTATAACACACTTTATTAAATGGGGCACAGAGTGCAATTTAACTCCTGCCTCTCCTGACTCAGTGCCTTATTACTGACAGCTGCCTCCCTTTTCGTTCTGTGTCTCAGAATCAGAAATGCTAACAATGTTGAACAATTTAGGATTACTAAATCTCTTAAGTGCCAGCCATCATCCCATTATGTCTCCTGTTAGTACTTTTCAGGATTTAAATTCTCAAAACCAGTCACTGCCAAATATAGCATGTGCTGAAATGTTAACCAAAGTGACATCTTAAAAAAAAGAAAGACTGCAGTCATTAGACCAGCCTGAAAGACAAGGATTAAAAACACCAGCCCACGACCGGCCCTCCCCTCCTTGTCCAGCCCACCAGCCTGAGGAACCACATCAGTGATAAACCTTCTCAGCTATTCCCTGAGCATATTGGCTCATACATGTCCTACATTTAGTAAATGTTGACTGAGCACCTACTGTGCATCCAGTACTCTGCCAGGTGTAAGGGATGGAGAGATTTAAAAATAAACAATGTCTGCCCTAAAGTATCTCATTCTGGTCGAGGGACAAATGTTACTGTCCAGAACAATATGCTCTGCAGAAATTTTCCTCAGGAGGCTATAGTAACAGAGCAGATGTCCAATAAATCTTTGTCATGTGATACAGTGACTTTAACAGATGAAGTGACAGTGTGTGGGGAAGAGAGCGCTTATGCCTGACTTCCTGCAACAGTCACTTCATTCCCTTCCTACCTTCAATCCTTTCTCCTTCCAATGCACTTAACACGGATTTATGGGCACCTACTACGTGCCAGGCTCA